CGTGATATACATCCAATATCCAATATGAATAAATTTAGCCGCTGCTTTGCATCGGGTATTAATTGATTAATAAGCTTATAATAGATCACGGGCGATGGTCGCAATTATAATTTATTTATACAGACTAAATGTTTTAATTATATAGATTCTAGATGGCATAATAATGAAGATTAAGGATTATCATTTTTGTTTACCCGCATAGCTTTTATGTTTATCAGTTGTTTTTTATAAGCCCAAAAATCAAAAACCAATTAACAATATTATATTAAAAAATAAGAAAATTTGATATAAGAATATTGTTTATTATTATAATAAAAAAATATAATAAAAATAATAAACTAAAATAAAAGATTAAAAATGACGATTTCAGGAAGGAAGAAGAAGGGAAGGGGAAGGGAAAAACGAAAGGGAAGGGAAGGGAAAGGGAAAGGGGAGAACGAAAGGTAAAGGGGAAAACGAAAGGGAAGGGCACTGGTCGAAATCAAAAAAATTGGACATATGGAAAATCAGCAAAAAATCAGACCAAAATCGACTGACATTACAAATCAGCATATCTGATTGATGCCAATCAGACAATTTAATAAAAATCCAGCAAAAAATCATCATATTTGATTGACGGCTGATTAATGCTTGTTGAAATCAAAAAAAAAATCAGACAAATGGCAAATCAACCTAAAATTTGCCCAATATTCAAATATGCACTTCTGATTATTTATGGAAAATTGACAATTCAATAAAACTCCAATAAAAATTTAGCAAAAAATTATCATATTTTTGATTGAAATCAAAAAAAATTGGACAAATGGCAAATCAGCTTAAAATTTGCCTAATATTGTCTGATTTATAGCACTTTTATACCAAATTGCACTGGTCGAAATCAAAACTTTCAGTCATGTGATAAATTGGCAAAAGTTCAGAAGATTTTTGGTTCAATTTCAGAAGTTATTCAAATTTTGACATATATGATTTATGGTCAATTTATAAAAATTGGTAGAATATCGATAATGTAAATAATTGAATAAACGATTTTTCAAAATCAACTTATATGGCAAGCCGCAGCCACAGTAAATTTAATGGCTTATCAATTAGTTGATCTATTACCAAATTTAGACTTTATTTAAACTAAAGTTTCGAAACTTTATCTTCATCTAACCTCATTCCTAAACAAAACGGTTTTAAACGTTTCGGGATTTTTTTTAGAAATAATGTTCTGATTTTTAACATTTTTATTTTTTACGAAACATTTTTTAACTTTTCATTTAATATTTTCAATCGGAACATTAGTTAACGTTCCAATTTTATTAATTTTTTTTTTGCAAAACTATTACTTTAAAAAACATTTCTGCCATTTTTTTTTATACTTTTATGTAGGAAATCAGCTCCTACTTAGATGCCGAACTCCAAAGGTAAGTTTCGAAAAATTTCTTCGAAACTTTATAAAAAAAATGTTTTCTAACGTAAAAAACATTTTTTTTTATATTATTGTAAGGAAATCGGTTTCGGCGTGGATACCGATATTCCAGATAAGTTTCGAAAAAAAAATTCGAAACTTTATAAAAAAAAATGTTTCTACCGTTTTTTTTTTATACTTTTATATAGGAAATCAGCTCCTACTTGGATACCGAATTCCAAAGGTAAATTTTGAAACATATGTTTCAAAACTTAAAAAACGTTTTTTAATATTAAAAACGTTTTTCTTTTTTTATTTTTGTATAGGAAATCGGCTCCAACGTGGACGCCAATATTTCAGATAAGTTTCGAAACATTTTCGAAACTTCTTTGAAAAAAATGTTTTTTAAAACGTTTTTTTTTAACATTATTGTAAAGTTTCGAAGTTTCAAAACTTTATGAAACTTAATAAAAAAACGTTTAAATTAACGTTTTTTTATTATTTTTATTAATTTTTTTGCAGTAAATCGGCTCCAAATTGGATACCGGAATCTTGCAAGTAAAGTTTCAAAGTTTCGTTTTGAAACTTTACGAAACTTAATAAAAAAACGTTTAAATTAACGTTTTTTTATTATTTTTATTATTTTTTTTTTGCAGGAAATCGGCTCCAAATTGGATACCGGAATCCCGCAAGTAAAGTTTTGAAGTTTC